TCCCAATCATCTGGCTTCTCTTCTGCTGTTGGTGCATTTTGAATTATGCTTGGTAGTCTATTTATACCAAATATTAGGGCCCTTAAGTTTGACAGAGGCATCAATTCTTGGGTTTTCCTTATTCATTGTACAACTTTCAGATGCATATGAGGTGATTGAAAATATCAGGGTTTGAGTTAGGCAGACAAGTGAGACCTTTGCTCCTTAACACTTTAAAGAGGTCTTGTCCTGCAGATTTTGCCAAGTGCAATACAACGTGTGCTTTCTTGACTGTTTCTTCAATGAGTGTTGATTGTGGATCTGAGTAAAATGAAATGTTTGACAATTTCACTTTTCTCCATTTATCACGATGTTCCTCATTGGTCCAGTTGTGAGCTTTATTTTTTTTTTTTTTCTCTATGAATGTGTTGGCCATCCTAATGGGAGTGAAATGGTATCTTACTGTTTTCTATTGCATTTCTCTGATGACTGATGACATTGAGCATGTTTTCATGTGTCTGTTGTGAGAATTTTCTTTACTTTTTCAGGCTTCTCAGGAATTAAGTTTAACATAATTTTCAGAAACAGATTTAAACCAGTTTGTCTATCATCAGAATCCTTTGTGTATTTTCTCACTGTTCTTTCTTGGTTACCTTGACAGGATGAGGTGAAGCCCACTTATGAACTGGTCCAGAGTCTCATTTCCACCCATTCCACTATTGATGCCAAAATGGCTTCAAGTAGAGTGGCACTTTTTTCTGATTCCAAACCAGTAGAGTCAGAGGTTATAGATAATCAAGGGTAAGTCTGCCTTTTAAAATTTTAATTTAAGAATGGTGTTACAGAAGATTATATCACCCATAATTCTGCTATCCTAACACATTTGGGTGGAATTTCTTCCTGTTTCCTGTTTTGTTTTGTATGTGCATGTTTATCTGAGGGTTCTTTGGATTTATGTAAAGATGTATAGAAGTATTTTCTCAAGATACAGGATTCATTTTTAATGACTGCATAATGTTTCTCATATATTGCCAAAAACTTGTCCATAGGTTCTTTTTGTTGCTTAGGAAACCTGAAGTGACTTGGGTCTTCTGGTGGCCAAAGTACTAGACCATGGGTGAGTCAGGAGCTTGTTCAAGAGGCCCCATATCTCATTTCTAAAATTTTCGGTTCCATTGTATTATCTCCTGTGGATAGATTTTCCCTAATTTATGATTTTTGTGAATTGTTTTTTAGTCTGAGTTGAAAATTTGTAAACTTTGTATATGGTAGGTATTTGCTAAAGAGTGATTTGATTGCATTGATTTATGACTCCCAATAAAATTCAGTCTTAAAAATGATTAGGATTATCTGATATGTAATTTATTATAAATACAAGCAGTCCCTGGATTACAAAGAGATTTATTCCTAAATTTGTCTTTAATTTGAATGTGAAGTAGGTCAGAACAGGTGCATATAGTTCTTATTTAGCGTTATCTTAGTGGAAGAGAAGTCTGGAAGTCTTTTCAGTGATTTAGAAGCTGAAGGAGCTGGTTATTAGTTTCAAAGTGAGGGAAAATTTATATAACATTAAAGGGCAAGTACAAGTTGTCCATAAATCAGATATATGTAACCTAGAGAATGCCTATATATATATATACAAACATGAAGGAAATTTTGTGACTGTTGTCTGCCATCCTTATCCCTTATTGTGTTGTATCTGTAGATCACTTTGGTAGTGTTTGCATCTTGTGTATTAAATCTTCCATCCATAAGCATGAAATGTCTTTCCATCTGTTTAGGTCTTCTTTAGTCTATTTCAGCAGTGTTTTATAATTTACATTGTATATAAGTTTTTCAGATCCCTGGGTAAATTTATTCATAGATCCTTTATTCTCTTAGATGCTTTGTAAATGGAGTCATTGTGATGAAATGGTGGCGTAGTGCCTAAGGCATTTAGCTGCTAACCAGAAGGCTGGCGGTTCAAACCTACCAGCCACTCCTTGGAAGGCAGGTGGTGCAATCTACTTCCATAGTGATACCACCTCCCCCAGGGAGGGTCGCTATGAGTCAAAATCAACTTGATGGCAGTGAGTTTGTGCTTTTTTTGTGTGTGTGTGTGTGTGTGATGAAATACAATGGTGAGTATAAACTACTTAGTTTGATGGCTGGCAAATAAGAAATATTCACTAAAAGGTCACCATTATGGTGATCTGTGTTGTTATAACTAAACTATTTCATTATTAGTGCTCCGTTAGTCAACTTGGTGTGCATGGATACTTTTTTCCAGTGCAGTTGTAGTCATAACTCAAACCCACTGCCAATTCCAACTCATAGCAAACCTCTAGGACAGGGTAGAACTGCCCCGTAGGGTTTCTAACACTATACATCTTTACAGAAACAGAATGCCTCTTCTTTGCCATGGGAGCAGCTAGTGGGTTTGAACCACCCATCTTATAGTTAGCAGCTGACTGTTTTAAGCACTATACCACTGGCATTCCTGTAAAGTCGTGATACATGGGAAATTTTCATTTCCTGTATCCTTTTTCTATTTAGTCGCATTGTACCCTTACCATTTTATTGTTGTTAATGCTTTATAGCATACTAACATTCTCTTACAGCCTGATTTTTTTGTATTTTCATAACTTAAAATTTTATATATACTGTTACATTAAATATAATGTTAATTAAATATAACAGTATATATATAGGACCTCTGGTAGCATAGTGCCTAAGGCGCTTGACTGCTAACCGGAAGGCTGGCGGTTCAAACCCACCAGCCACTCCTCAGAAGGAAGATGGGGCAATCTACTTCCATAGTGATACCACCTTGGAAACCCGAGGAGGGGTCTCTATGAGTTGGGGCTGACTCGATGGCACATAGCAACAGCAAATAGCATTAGCATATACATATATGTGGGAGCTCTGATGGCATAGTGCCTAAGGCATTTGACTGCTATAACCAGAAGGCTGACGGTTCAAACCCACTAGCCACTCCTCGGAAGGAAGGTTGGGCAATCTACTTCCGTAGTGATACCACCTTGGAAACCCGAGGAGGGGTCGCTATGAGTGGGATCCAACTTGACAGCAGTAAGTTTAGTTTATTTATTTATATTTATACACACACACACACACACACACACAAATACATAAAGTTTGTTTCATCCCATGATTTTAGCATCTTGATGATTCTTTATTTTTCTTTTTTTGTGTGTGTGATTTGGGTGAAAGTTTACAGAGCAAATTCACTTTCTATACAACAGTTCACACACACTTTGTCTTATGACATTGACTACAATTTACCCCAATGCAACACCTCCCCCTCCACTTCCTCCCGATAGTTACCTCTTTCCTGTGTCCATCCCTCCATGCACTCTTGCTCCCTGAACTGTCTCCCTGTGCATAAACAGCCCTTCTTTTTTCCATAATTGTTGTCTCCAAGGAGTATATCTACCTCAGGTACATGTTCAACTCTTATGCCTGGCTTTTATTTGGCTGGAAGCTGCAGGTGTGGGTTCAATTCTAGACCTGAAGGGCAGCTAGAGACCATAGACTCAGTGGTTCCACCAGGTTTTATGAGGCTAGCAAACCTGGTTTCCTTTTTTTTTTTTGTTCCAAATGATTTTGAGTTTTAAAATAGCAACTTTCTTAATCTGTGATTCCTGCTATATTTATTTGCCAGCATTCTTTAATAAAAAAGAGCTTCCACTTTTGCTTTTATTTTATTATTACTGTTAATTAATGGATTTTTTTTTTATTCTGTGTTTTATCCATTACTGTCATTATTTTTTCTGATGCCTGTGTTGTCCTAAATTTGGCTTTGAGTCCCTTTTGTTCTGTCTCCTCTGTCCTTTTGCTCATCACCATTAGTCTTTGACCATTTTCTTATTGTCTGACATGACAGGATGGTCCAGCCTTACTTTGTATTTTTCCTGCCTTGGCCCTGGAATCAGCCATTTCTCTAAGAATGTCTGTTTCAAGCCTGGAAATTAATTACCCTTCTTATTGATCTATTAAACATTAATTTCTGTTTTGAGCAGTTTTTTCCTAGCGTTATTTTTCTTTTAAGTTATCTCTTTATTCTCAGTAAGTTTTTGAAAGTAGGATGTTAGGGAACTGTACATGAGTTTGCTTATTAACTATTCTAATACAATGAAATCTGTGAGAGCTGGAACTTGATGGGACTTTTCTCCCAGGTCTTGCAAGTTTTCTGCCTTTAACAAGATGCAGTCTTACCTATTTACTTTAGCTCATTTTCGTGGAAAATAATTGAGTTTTCCTTCTCTGACAAGTTTCTACCTTAACACAGGTTCTGCCTTATACAGATTTTACTGTATTTTCCAAACCATTCCTTTCTATATTATGTCATTGTATACACATTTCTTCCTATTTCTTTGCATTTTCATTGACTATATTGCCATTTCTGGTTTAGCTGACTGTTTTACATATTGAATTATTTTGCATTTACCTGGTGTAATGCAGGCTTTGGATGCCAAAAGAGGAAAAGCAAATCGATGTGAAAACTGGTCGAGTGCGTAGAAAAGCCATTTTTGGAGATAAAGAAGATGATACTGGAGATTGTGATTATGAAGATGGTGAAGAAATGTCTGACAGTGACAAGTTGGATGATGACTCTAGTGTTGATGAAACAGCTGAGGAGGAAGATGATGAAATAACTGATAAAGAACATATGATTGTTAAGGGTTTCAAGCGCCAGAAACTTGAGGAGATGGAAGAAGACAATGAGGTGGATTTACCAGCATTTGCTGATAGTGATGATGACCTTGAGGGGAGCTTTGAAGATGAAGACGATGCTGAGGAAGCCAGTGAAAGCAGTGAAGAAGAGGAGGACTACACTGCAGAAGGAGAGAGTGATATTTTAGGATCTAAGGCTATTGAAAAAGGTGGTCAATCAGGACTATCAGGAACTAATGGTTTGAGTGACAGTTTGAATAAAGAGAAGTCTTTGACGATGAAAAAAGCAGTCCATACCATTTCAGATTCAGGTCATTGCACAGCTAAAGAGGCATTTGCATCTGAAGATGAATCTGAAGAAAGCTCCTCTCTCAGTTCAGAGGATAAGGACACAGAAAAGGAAGAGGCTATTAGGAAAAAGCTTCCAAAGCCTTGTCAAGAGGACAGTGGTGAAAAACTGGGGCCAGAGAACTTAATTGATGAGACCAGTGAGGTAGAAGATTTACTCAAAGAGGAGGAATATTACAAGGAAGAAAATACTTACTCCACAGAAACATCAGGTATGCATAAAGTGAATTGGCTACTTTTATAAAAGAGCTCTGGTGGCGTAGTAGGTAAGGCACTTGACTGCTAACCAGAAGGTCAGCAGTTCAAACCAATGAGCTGCTCCATGGAAGGAAGATGGGACAATATGCTTCTGTAAAGATTTATAGCCTCAGAAATGCAAGGGGGCTCGCTAAGAGTCGGAAACGACTCAATGGCACTGAGTTTTTGTTTTTGTTTTTGTTTTTTTACTTTTATAAACCTAGCACTGAGAATGTAGCTATAAATAGGATGTCTACATTTGAGAGTCTTGTTCTGAAGATTTTGTTAACTTTTCAAGTAGCGCATCTTATAGAAGGATGAATTAACAGTGAGCTTAAAGGGGAGGACACATTAAAAAAAAAAAAAAAAACTTAACTAGAATGTTGGCATTGGCCCTTTCAGGTACCCTCAAGTGGAAGGAAGATCTTTCTAGGAAGGCAGCTGAAGCTTTTGTGAGGCAGCAACAAGCAACTCCAAACCTTCAAAACCTTATTTATGGAACAGGTAAAAGAACTGTTTCAGAGCTCGAAACATTTTAGTTTCTACATCGTTTTCTGTAAAGGAGATAAGGAAATTAGTTGGAAGATTTGGGTGCTATGTAAGATAAGATATTCATGGGTGTCACATTTTGTACTTGGCAGATTTAAATTAGTAGTTCATAAGCACCAAAAATCATTTATATTAAGTAGGTTTATGCCATAAGTGTTTTGAAGAGAATAGTGTCTATTATATCAGTATCCCCTGCATAAAGTACTTGATGAGAATATTTTTTTTTAATTTAGTGCCAGAAAAGTGTTTTCTGCCTCTAAAAATGTTTGCTTTTCATTTCTAAAAATAACAATCCTCTGTAATGCATTCTGTTTTCTCTTTTGTCCTTACCTTTGATTTTATATTAAATTTATCTCTATGTTATTTTTGGCAAGAGCATGAATCAGTAATGGAAAATATAAACTGGTGAACTTTATATTATCCTTTTCAGTTACTGCATGATTAGACCAAAGTTCAAGGAACATGTGTGAGCTAGGAGCAGTGGATCACAGGGCTGATGTAAACTTAAACACTTATAGTCTAGTTCTTTGCCAGTCTTCACTCAGGTTTTGCCTGAGTACTTGTAATGATTAGGGTCTCAACATCATTCAAGAGAAATTCTATAATAATTTGAAGCTCTGCTTCTAAATGTCTTTCCTCATCCCCTAAATATTCTCACTTGGTGAACTCTGCTGCTGCTTTGCAGGAGGGCAGGAGTCCTCTAGACATGTTCAATAATAGTTTCCTGGCCTTTCTCTGTCTGTGGCTTTTTCTGGCTGACTTTCTTGGAAACACCACCATAGCTACCATTAAAAACTCCTACGTTCTAAACTTTTGGCCTAACTGCTTAAAGAAGATGAATTCTAGTAGTATTTTTTTTCACACTTTTTCATCCTGGTGGTCCCTTTAGTGACAGAAGACAATGAAGAAGATGATGGTGACCCCAAACAAGAACTTGGAGGTTTGTTTCGTGTCAGCAAGCCTGACAGAGAGTCTAAGCACAAGGCCAATTCTTTGGACTGCTCTAAATTTCTTGTGGAAGAACTCCACCATTGGGATTTAGAGGAGGTAAGACTGAGTAGTATGTTTTGACTTATGTGAGTTAGATAATTGTTGTAAAAGAGATTTCAGTGTAGAAATCAGTATCTCATTTCAGTATTGCTTGCCTTTAGTGATTTCTTCTTTTTGTGAGATAATAGGATTTTTTTTCAGATATTGGAGTGTATATTTCATGTATTCTAAGTAATAACATGTGAATTTAATTAGATCATATGGCTGTGTTATGGAGAAAAGGAAAATGTTCATCTTTTGTGGGTGCAGTTGTGTTAATCCTTTATTTGGAATCATCCCACATATGTTTTTATACATTGGAAGTATTTTATGTTCTACAATTAGGATATACCTAATATTGCTGAGTTAACATTTGTAGTTCTGCTGTTTGTAGAAATCCATTACACTGGTAAATTTTCTTATTCAAGTCATTATCTTCTAGTCATATTGGAATTAATTCATTTCTCTGATTTACATAATTCCCGTTTTAGACTTTGTGCCTCTCTGCTTTCCTCTTCTGGAATCTTCTTTTGATTTTTCCAAGGGTAGATTTTTGTCATTCAGAGTTTAGCTTAAATGTCACTCCTCAGAAAGGCTCAATCACTATCACATTATTTTTTCAATTTTCTGTATAGCACTTACATGCTTTATGAGATTTTACTTAATTATTTTTTATGGTAAAATTTAATACAGATAGAGAAAACCATATGAAAACAGTTGTTTAACTTAATAAATTAGAAGTCACATGTTCCTGTAACTACCACTCAGGTCAGTAAATAAAACTTCACTGCCTCTTTTCCCTTCTTATGCAAGTAACTACTATCTAGACTCTTCTGATAGTCATTCTGACTTTCCTTCATAATTTTATCCTTTAATTGTGTATCCCTAAATACTATAGTTTTACCTGATTTTTATTTTTTTCAAATCGCTGCAGTGACTACATAGAACTCAGATTATGGGGTTTATTAAGGAAGCACCAGGCTGCAATTCAAGTTCAGGAACAATGCTCAGTCTCTCTCAGCCCGCTGTCTCTCAGCCAACAGTCTCTCTTAGTCTCCCTCCCAGCAGCGTCTGTCTCTCGGTGTCTTTCTCTTAGCAGTGCATGTCTCTCGGTGTCTCTCTGTCAGCAGCGCGTGTCTCTCAGGAGCATGTTTCTCTCTGCAGCACGTCTTTCTCAGCCAGCAGTCAGAGAGACTTCTTCTGCCTCTAGAAGGGCTCCTTTTGAGCCTGGCAGAGTGGCCAACTAACCAATCCCAACATCAGAATTCTATAAACCTGAGAGAGAGCAAACTTCCCAGAACATTGCTTCGTGCCACTCTCAACAGAAATACCCCAGGTGGATAACTTTAACAATCAGGAGCTCCTCAGTTGCAAATTCTACAATGGAGTTTTCAAAGATTTATGGCTAGAAAAGCCATACTAGGTAATTTACTACACCACAGGCCACCCCCTGGCTTTTCTAGCCATTATCTCTTTTATACTTCAAAAATTAACATCCCCTTCACCATATCCCCTTCACCGTCAGTTTAAGAATAACCACACCCATGAAAGTGTGTATGTAACCCAGCCACTTCATGCCTTTATCTTCCCCCATTTTAGATAGCCAATTTCTAATTTGCCCATCCCTATCAAACCAGTACTGTGAGGAGACAAGCATGTTCCTTTCTCACTGAAGAATATTCTATTCTTCTCGGACACTTTAGTCATCTGCATCCATACACAAGAAAAGTCCAGCCTGGTGCAAGCCAACAAATTGCAGCAACTTAACACCAACTCATTGTCACACATCTTCTCTTCATTTGGTCAGCTCAGCCCTAGCTGTCCCAGCTAGGTCATGGATACCACCTGCCAAGTTTAGGAGTCACACTCTTCTCTTCATTTCAGACCAGCTAGCACCTTCTCTCACATCCTCAGTCCTCAGGGACTATTTCAATGCCCATAGACTCACTGCTTCTTGCACTTCAGACCAGCCAGCCCTTCCTCTCATTCCCAGCCTCCGTGACTTAGGTCAAGGAGTACCAAACTCAGCCCATTTCTTCTTTGCTGTACTTCCCCATTTGCACTCAGGTGGACCCAGGTGGTCACAAATGAGTAGCATACAAGCTTACTACTCACTGGCTTTCTTTAACTTTCAGTCCTGGAAGGGGTTTCTCTCATAGACCATGACTTTCCTGTCTTGATGTACCCAAAATCTGTCAGCTTGCTCGAAATTCAAAAAGCCAAGCAGTTTTTTTTTTTTTTTCTCCCCCACCTCAGGTCCTTATTCAAATGCAAATCTTCTGTTACCTCAGTTGTACTGGGTGGGGCTCAGGTTTTCTACCTAAGCCCCCTATACTCTACACACAGGGTTTGAAAAAAAGCCTGTGTTTCTTCTGGGCCAATTCTGTTTCACCTTTTAACATATCCAATCAAGTATTGGATGAAGGCAGACTTACATGCTCTCTGTTATCCAGACCCCATAATCATTTCTAATGTACAAGCAGGTAAGAGAATATGCAATACCTGTAGTACATTCAGATAAACACATAATCCAAAACACATAATCCTTTTTAAGACATTCCAGTTTCATCTCTTCACCTTGATTACCTTCCCATTCTATGTATACAGCCTTGAGCCTTTGGGTGGGTGTGACCAAAAGCCCTACCCGCTGGATCAATCATCTCCTTTAATAGCTAACACCAACCAAAGTAACCACCTAATAATCCAAAATTTCACTTCCCAGGCCCCTTCCTTCTTTCTTTTACAAAGTCCCATGCTTGTGTGAGCCACTGCAGTGAATACCACTCCTGACACCAACTGCCAAAGGGGCAGTGAGGCTGCATCTTCTGACCTCCTCTACCCCCACAAGAGGAAGACAGAATCACCATCAGTAGCTCAAGGCCTATTCCTGTGAGGCTAGACATGCTGCCTCCCTCCAGCCCTTTCATAAACCCTGACATCAACCATTCCTCCCACTGCACCCACCATCTTTCTGCTGGGTTCGATAATTCGCTACAGTGGCCACACACAACTCACAGATTATGAGGTTTATTAGGGAAGCACCAGGCTACAATTCAAGTTCAGGAACAACGCTCAGTCTCGCTCAGCCTGCTGTCTCTCAGCCAACAGTCTCAGTCTCTTTCCCAGCAGTGCGTGTCTCTTGGTGTCTCTTTCTCAGCAGCGTGTGTCTCTCAGGAGCACATTTTTCTCTGCAGCATGTCTTTCTCAGCCAGCAGTCAGACTTCTTCTGCCTCTAGGAGGGCTCCTTTAGAGCTTGGCAGAGTGGCTAACTAACCAATCCCAACATCAGAATTCTAAACACCTGAGAGAGAGCAAACTTCCCAGAACATTGCTTTGTGCCACTCTCAACAGAAATACCCCAGGTGGATAACTTTTAACAGTCAGGAGCTCCTCAGTTGCTAACGGCAAATTCCACCACAGATATTACAAAGACTTATGGCTAGAAAAGCCATACCAGGTATTTACTACACCACAATTGCCATGTTAGCAAAATTAAGTCTTCCAATCCATTAACATGAGGTGTTGCTCCATTATTTAGATCTTCTTTCTTTCAACAGTATTTTCAATATTGCTTTAAATAGTGTTTTCACAGTGTAAGGTTTCACAGTATATGTTTTGTACTCCTTTGTTAAATTTTTTTTTGCTAGGTATTCTTTTTGATGTTTTTTTAAGGAAATTGTTTTTATAATTTCATTTTCGGATTATTTTTATTTTTAGTGTATAGAATACAATTTATTTGTATAGTAAATCCCTCAAAAGCACCAACCTGTGACAGGCAGAAGCTGTCAGAAGGAAAATCAAACACAAGCAATAGAAAAGTGGTAAGACTGTATGCTGTCAAAGGTGGAAAACTTGTGAGACCTGGAAAAACAAGGCAATCCTGTTGAGCTCCACCTGTCACAGATTTTATATGTTGAACTTGGTTATTAATTCCAATAGTTTTTTGGTAGATTACTTAGGATTTTCTAAATATAAAATCATAGCATTTGTGAATAAAGAGTTTTCCTTTCCAATCTGGATACTTTTTATTTTATTTTATTTTTTTACCTACTTGTCTTATTAAAATGTCTATTATAACATTAAATAGAAGTGTGAAAGTAGATGTGTTAAAATATCTATTACGACATTAAATAAAGTATGAAAGTAAATGTCCTTTCTTGCTCCTGAATGTAGGGGGAAATCATCTAGTTTTTCACCATTTTGTATATTGATAGCTGTGGGGTTTTTTTTTTAATGAATACCCTTTCTGAGGTTGAGGAGATTTCCTTTGATTCCTATTTTACCAGTTGGTTTTATCATGAAATGATCTTTTTTTAAACAATAAAAAAAAAAAGTAGATTGTTTATTTCATGGGAGCGAGGAAAGTCTTGGAACAGTTTGCCATTTAGTTTGCCATACTCTTGACATAGAGTAGGTGTTCAGTAAATATTGTTGGTAGGCATGAAGAGGGAGCTCTGGTGGCATAGTGCCTAAGGCATTTGACTGCTAACCAGAAGGCTGGTGGGTTTGAACCACCAGCCACTCCACAGAAGGAAGATGGGCAATCTACTTCTGTAAAGATTTACCACCTTGGAAACCCAGTACGGGTCGCTGTATGTCAGAATTGACTCGAAAACAGTGCGATTGGTTTTTTGTTTATGAGGTCATTAGCTAATAGTCCTTTTCCTATTCTCTGTTTAATGTTATGTTTATGATTTTTTTATTTCCATATTATTTATTATGTGCATCAAAGGTAAAATTGAGTTTTTTCTTAGTTCCCCTTGAAATGAGACTATCCATAAAAGTGGTTTGAGAAGTACTTAAAGGCAAGTTGTAGCCTACTGCTGTTTCTTAATAGAAGTTTCGTTGAGTGATTGGAGCATATCATCTAAGTGCGGACTTTTCTGTGTAAGGTTATGAACACGATCAGAGATTGCTTTGTGACTGGGAAGTGGGAAGAGGATAAAGATGCAGCCAAGGTCTTAGCAGAATTTGGTAAGTAAAGAGTTTCATTCTTCAGAAAAAAAATAGCTTTCTAGTATTTTGTTTTCTTTCAAAAATACCAGTATTTATTATTGAGTTGATTCTGACTCATGGTGGCCCTCTGTGTCACAGTAGAACTTCACTTCATAGAATTGTAAAGGTTGTGCCTTTTTTGACGCAGATTACCAGTTCTGTCTTCTGAGTCCCTCTGGGTGGGTTTGAATTGATAGTTGTTTGGTTAGTAGTTGAGTATTTAGCCATTTGTGTTATCCAGGGACTCCATCTTAAATAATAGTCAAGTTGAAAGTAATAGTTGATTGTGAAATACTTGGGGGAACTCTAACAGATGTTTGGATAATGTTCTGGTTTCTCCTTTAATAAATTAATAATAAATAAATTTAATAATAATAATAAATAAAGAGATTTATTAAATTTGGACTTTGAAGAAAAGTGAGACACTTTCCTTAAGTTTTATCATGCATTTTTTATAATTACATTTTTTATAGAAAAAAAATGTTTAAATAAAAATAAAGGAACACTTACAGATTATTCAAACAAAAATGTTTTTAACATTGAATGTAGAAGTGCTAAGCCCAACTTTCACCCCATTACTCCAAAGTTGTGGGGGAATAGCCAGTTATTAAGAGTGTAGTAATTTTTGTTTTGAAAAAAATGTTATTTTACTTAACTTATTCTACAGCATGCTTCTTTCACTCAAGTATATGTCATGGACATATACTTCCACTTAACACATATATAGCAACCTCCCTCTTTTAATGACTGTTTATTGTGTGGGTTTGCCATCGTTTATTTAACCATTGATTAATGCTTCATTTTTCTTCAGTGTTTTATTCTTAAAAATAAGGGAATAGATTTTTAGAAATGGAATTACTTTGTCAAAAAGTTACATTTACATTTTACAATTAATTTAAAAGTTAAATTACATTTTAAACTTAAGTTGCATTAGAAAAAATGTCCCAAATTTCATGTTCCTACCTAAAATATGTGAAAATGTAATTTTTTCTGTATCTTTGCCAAAATTGGATACTACTGGTTGTTTTTTGTTTTGCAAGTAAGTCATCAGTGGCCCAGATTAACTTTGAAAACCGTTTTGCTGAATTTAAAATATATTTTGATTTTATTGTTAAACTAAGAAATTAATTTGAGAATATTTGAAGTCATTCTACAGTATTCAGTCCTTCTCTCCAAACATACCCTGCCCCTGTTTAAATTTTCTATCTCTGGTTAAAGTTTTATTCATCACTGTAAATTCATTGTGGCTTTCTAGAAATTTTGTTTTTGATTATTTTTTAATGTCTTGTGTGTGTGTATATAAACTTGCTGTTTCAAGCATTCTGTAAGTGTACAATCATACTCATGGTACAATTGTCACCACTTTTCATTTCCAAAAATTTTTCATCACCCCAAACATACACCCAGTACCCCTTAAGCGATAACTCCTCCATTTCCTCCTATCCCCATCTCCTGTTAATTACTGAGAAGTTTTTGTCTTTATGCATTTGCCTATTCTAGATACTTCATGTACATAAGATCATACAGTATTTGTGCTTTTGAGTCTTATTTCACGTAGCATAATATTTTCAAGGTTCATCCATATCATAACTGTTAACTTTTTATGGCTGAATAATATTCCTTTATATGTGCTACATTTTGTTTGTCCAGTTATCTGTTGGTGGACATCTGGATTGTTCCCACATTTTGGCTATTGTATATAGTGCTGAAGTGAGCACTGGTGTACAAGTATTTCTTTCAGACCCTGCTTTTCAAGTCTTTTGAGTATATCTAGAAATGGAATTGCTGGGTCTTTTGGTAATACTTGATTTTTTGAGGACCTGCCAAGCTGTTTTCCATAGTAGATGCACTGTTATATAATCCCTCTAACAATGGATAAGGGTTCTACAGAAAGGGCATGGGGACTGTGTCTGACCTCCTCTAATTCACAAGGGGTAAGAAGGATCAAGGTCAGTAGCCCAAGACTGACTCTTATAAAGTGGAAGTCAGACATGCTGCCTCCCTCCAACCTTCTCGCCAGTTCTGACACCAACCATCCCTCCCACGAAAGTCTGTCGTTCTCTACTGGGTTCAGTAATTCATTGCATTGGCCACACAGAACTTAACAGACAATACTCACAATTATGGGGCTTATTACAATTCAGGATAACAAACAACTCAGGGTACAGTTCTTCAGTCAGGACAGCCTCTTCTCAGCTATACCACAGGCACATTTCTCTCTAGCCTTGGCCTGTGTCCTGCTTGGGCAAGTGAGACAAAACTCATTTAGCTCTGCCGATATATGCCCAGAGAGGCATCCCACTCTGCCAGCAAGGCTTCTGTCCGAAGGTACTCGGCTTTCTTACTCAGTAGGCTGGAAAGCCCGCCACTCTTTCTCAATGTCAGTCTCCTTTCTGTTGATTCTGCTGCCTCTTGCTGTTCAATGCAAGGATTGTGGGCCCAAAGGATGTGCTTCTGGCTCTTTTCTTGATGGTAATGAGATCCCCTTTTCTGCTACTGGAATGGCTCATTTTAAGCCTAGCAAGATGCCAAAACTGACCAGTCTTCATATTAGGGCTTCATATACCTTATTTGCACAGTCCCACCCCGACAAGCGTGCCATATACCTTGTTTACATTATTAGCAGTCTCTCCAGTCTGCTTCCACTTGATGGGCCACAAGCATCTTACATTTGCATAGTCCCGTCAGTCATCTGGTGGGAGTCATAAAGACTATGGCTAGAAGAGCCATCCATACTAAGTATAAGTAATTCACTGTACCACAGATTTCAGTGACTCCATATCCTTGCCAACATTAGTTGTTTTCCATTTTTCGGACATTTACCATCCTAGTGAGTGTAACTCTGGAGCACAGTTTTATTCTGACAAACACAGAATCTCTAGGAATCTGAATCAACTTTATGATAACAGGTTTTAAGTTTGGTTTTTTTGTTTGTTTGGTTGGTTTAGTAGATATGAAATGGTATCTTCTTATGGTTTTGAGGTGCATCTCTCTTATCACTAATGATCTTAAGCATCTTTTCATGTGCTTAATGGTCATTTGTATGTCTTCTTTGGCAAAATGTATATTCAGTTCCTTTGCCCATTTTTTGATTGAGTTGAGTTGAATGAGTTCTTTATGTATATTCTGTATAGTAAGTTCTTATCAGATATTTTCTCCCAAATGTTCTATTCTATGGGTTTTCTTGCAATTATTTTTTTCTCCTTGTCCTTTGAGGTACAAAAGTTTTTAATGTTGGTTAAATTCAGTTTATCTATTTTGTCTTTTGTCATTTGATATTTAATGTCATATCTAAGAATTTATTTTTTTTAATTAGATCTTAAAGCATTACCCTTATGTTCTAAGAATCTTAACAGATTTTAGAGTTCATATTTAGGTCATTGATACATTTTTAGTTACTATTTCTATATGATAATGAAGTAGGGGTCCAACATCATTCTTTCGCATGTAGATATCCAGTTATCCCAGCAGTATTTATTGAAGAGACTTTTCTTTCCCTATTGAATGCATTTGGCAACCTTCTTGAAAATCAGTTGGTGTAGGTATATGTCTGGACTCTTGGTTCTATTCCATTGGTCTGTCAAGGCAATCTGGTACCAGTATCAAACTTTTTAGATTACTGTAGCTCTACAGTGTGCATTGAAATCAGAAAGTTTGAATCCTCCTACTTTGTTCTTGTTATTTTAATTTTTTGGGGGGGGAGATTGCTTTAGCTATTTTGGGCCCCTTGTGGTTCCTTAAGAATTTGAAGATCAGCTTTTCCATTTCTGCAGAGAAAAACTGTTACAGATATGTGTTGAATCTGTAGATTGTGTTCAATAGTATTTACATATGAACAATATTAAGACTTCCAATCCATGAATACAGGATGTCTTTCCATTTAAGTAGATCTTTAATTTATTCAGCATTGCTTTATAGTTTTCAGTTTACAAACCTTTCACTTCCCTGGCTAAATTTTACTCCTTGATACTTTATTCATTTAGATGGTATTGTAAAATGGGATTGTTTTCTTGATTTCTTTTTCTTTGTGCATTGATGGTATATAGAGAAACAGCTAATTTTTTTTTTTTTTTTCTGTTGACCCTATCCCTTGCAACTTTACTGAAGTCACTTATTAGCTGTAATAGCTTTCCTGTGGATTCTTTGGGATTTTCTATATGTAGGATAGTGTCTTCAAATAGAGATAATTGTACTTTCCTTTCTGATTTGAGTACCTTTTATTTCTTTTTCTTGCCTGATATTTCTGGTTAGAAGTTCCAGTACAATGTTGAATAGCTGTAGTGAAAGTGAGTGTCCTTGTTTTGACCCTGATCTTAGAGGAGAACTTTCATTCTTTCACCACTGAGTATGATGTTGTTGTTGTTGTGTGCCATCGAGTCGGATCCGACTCGTAGCGACCCCTCCTTGGGTTTCCGAGGCAGTATCACTAAGGAAGTAGATTGTCCCATCTTCCTTCCAAGGAGTGGCTGGTGGGTTTGAACCACCAGCCTTCTGGTTAGCAGTCAAGTGCCATACGCACTACGCTACCAGAGCTCTCGAGTATGATGTTAGCTGTGGGTTTTTCATAAATGCCCTTACTAAGTTGAGGAATTTTTTACTATTACAGTTAGCTGAGTATTTTTATCATGAAAACCTGTTGGATATGTCAAATGCTTTCTGTGTCAACTGAGATGATTATTTATTTTGTTAATCTGGTCTATTACATTGATTCATTTTCTTGTGTTGAACCATTTTGCATTCCTGAGATAAATCTCATTTTGTCATAGTATGTAATTCTTATAATATAGTTTATGGTTCAGTTTGCTGATAATTTTGTTGAGGATCTTTATTTTTATAATAATAAAGGATATTGGTCCACAGTTTTCTTGTGATATACCCTTATCTGACTTTGGTATCAGACCTTTTAGAGTAACTTAGGAAGTATTCCCTCATCTTCCATTTTTCAGAATAGTTTAATCAGCATTGGTATTAATTCTTCT